TCTCATATCCTGCCATACAACAGCAACCGCAACCGGCCATACAACAACAAGCGCAAGCTTGGCAGCCTAGCTATTCGTATCCAGTCGATCAATCTTCTGTTCAACATGGACAACCTGTGCAATCACAATTCCCACTGCCTGCCCCACCGCAACTTCCAGCGCCCGTTCAACAACCAGCCGTAGAGCAACATCCATACGGTTGGGATCCTAGGCTAGCACAACCTTATGCTCAGCCTGCACATTCAGCCGGTCAGTATTCTCCTTATTTCCAACAGCCTGTCATGCCATATCTTCCCGCGCCTGCGCCTGTGCAACCAGCTACATATCCATCACTTCAACCTGACAATTCTCATGATGAACAATCAGCTGGACATCATACTGCTCAACCCGGTCAAACTCAATTCTTATATCCTCCGCTGGCACATCTTCCTGAATCCGCACAGCCACAGCCTTCGCAAGCAGCCGCGCAAAAACCAACTCAGCCTGAACATTCTCAACCGGCACATCCAGCCATTGAAAATGTTTCAGAGTCACAGCCCACACAACAACCAGCAGATCGATCACTATTTCGCACGCTTATTGAAAAGCTTGGCCCACATAATTCTAATGAAGAACAGCAGCCACCGAAAGTTACCCAAAATCCGCAATCGAGTGGTATTCAAGATTCTTTCTTAAATATTAAAACATCTGTCGACCAACCGCATGCACCATCACAACAACAGTACCCACCACAACAGCCGGCCCAATATTCTGCTGGTCAAACAGCGCCAGCTTCTGCGGCACAAGCTGAAGTAAGTCAACTATTTCGTTTATTCTTTTTAATAAGTTTCATTATTTTTTTTTTATTCAGCTACCAGCTCCGATAGCTTCACAGCAGCAACCGGTAGTAACAGACTTTTCATCACATGTGCAAGTGCCTGCTCAGCCAGGTGTAGCACCTGCGTGGCATGCACCAGCTGCCCAACCTGCGGCGGCAATTGGTGGCACACCTATTCAACCTGGCCAGCTCGCCTTTCCAACTCCAACCATACCGCCTGCTCAGCCAACGGAAGACTCATCTTGGTTGTCCAAGAAAAAAAGTATATTTAGCAAGTCTTCTGCCGATAAGACTCAGCAGACCAATTTCGTGTTGATGATGTTGATGTTCATCCTACTGCTATGGTTCCGAGAGTAGAAGCTTTGTGCTCGGAAGACATTCTCATTAATTAGGTTTGAGAATGATGGGTTCTAATTCCTCATCAAACTATCTATACTTACTAAGTAGAAATTAATATTTAAAACCCGAAATTTTTATATTATCACCTACACAATTATTAAAATTTTCTAAGGTTACAGCTAAATAAATACAGACGTTAGTACATACAAATGTATGTATGTATGCCATGAGTAAGTATAAAGCTAAATAAAATCATTTTAGGGGAAATTCGAACAATAGATGAATTTATCAGATTATCTTATTTCTTTTTCTTCTTTATTGGCGCTGTAACCGCCTAAGCGATTTTGACCGAGTCCAAAACAGCACGCCAGTAATTTGTCTTGCCAACTGAGCCCAACTGGAAATGCCAAGAGAAGCCAAGCCCTTCTCTACCTGGTATTTCCAGCGCAGAGGAGGCCTTCCTCTTCCTCTGTTACCACCATCGCGGCCCACGTTGAATAATTTCAGATCAGGAGCGTTTCTGTCCATTCGAACGACATGGCCAAGCCAGCGGAGCCGCTGAATTTTAAATCGCTGCACTATGTCTATATCGTTGTAAAGCTCATACAGCTCATTCTTAAATCGTCTGCGGTATACGCCATCGCAAACTCCAAGCGCCGCTTCATCAGATGTTTTCATTGTCTATGCCTCCGCACCATACACCAGCACAGGCATGATGACTGATTTATAGAGTGTGAGAAATAATAAAATTAGTTTCTAAAAATTAAAAGACATTAAAAAAATATGTCCTTCTTTAAAAATCAAACAAAAATTATATCAAAAGGAGAAAAAAGTAAGTTTCCAGAAATTAATTTAAATAAAAAAGATATATATATATATATTTATTTTTAAAACATTAAATTAAATTAAGTTAAAAAAATATTTATAGGCATGGGTGCGTTCGGTCCTGTATCGGTTTTTGCGAATATGACTTCTTCCAGCTTTATTTCCACTGCCTTCAACCCCTCTCGCTCACTTGTCCGAGCGGGTTACTGCGATCGATGAGTGCCACGAAGAGACGTCGTTTAGCAATCGCATTGGCCAACGCCGCTCTTTCGGACGTTTGGCTTTCTGGCCTCGTTTCTACATTTCTGCTTCTTTAACAGACCGCCGCCACAATATGCTCTTCGTTCAAGTTTGCGAACTTTGGATCTTTAGCTGAGAATTGTGGTCTCGCTGCATAGTAGTGAATCTACTTCTTGATTACTCAAGCCAACCTTTTCTCCTCCTCCTCAGTCCGCTTGACCTGGTTGACAAGCTCGTCGCTGCTCTTAACAGCAGCTGCGTATATTGCCTTAGCCTTCAACTCTTCCTGCCTTGGCCTCGTCCTCGGTCAACCTCACAGTTTAGTAAGGTTAATGAACTTTTGCGGACGCCGATAAATGGGCTATTATTATGGTCTTATTATGCATACTTCGCATAACTTCGCACAACTCGCATAACCTTCAAACTGTAATTTCGTATGATCTTTTTGTGTATTTTTTATGTATTTTATTACCCAGAAATCTGCAGAACTTTTAAAAACTTAGCTATCTTTTAAGTTTAGATTTTGCGTCACATTTTCTTGCACTGGTACAAATAGTTGTGCGAAGTTATGCGAAGTATGCATAATCAGACCTTTATACATACAATAATATGTATGTATGTAGATGCTCTGTAGAAGGGTAACCGCAGGAAGTACATGGCAAATTTTTATGTTTTAATACTTCTCTTTAATCCTATTTTAAGGCCAGTATACGATTTCTCTTACATCATATACATATTATACATACTATGTACATCATCAATGTGTGCTATATTCGTATGTAAGTACTTCCAACATACCTTGGCAAATAAAGGTGAATTGCAATTTCTACTCTGACATTGCAATTTTTTTCTATCAACGCGTAACAATCTCGCGCGACCAGAGCAGCGCCAACGTCAAAATGTTGATAACGAAGCTTACTAGTGTGTAGTATGTCGCACGTGTTGGCTCTTTGGTAGCAATTTGCAAAAAAAAAAAAATAGACCTCATACAAAAAGGTTTGGCGGACTAAAAAAAAATTTGTTGGTTCAGAGCTAAATGCAAAGCTGACGCCGATGTTGCGTGCCCTCAATGGCGGCTGTGGTCGTTACAGCTGCTGAAGCTATTCTATCTTAGATTTATTTTTGTTGTTCCTACTGCATGGCAAATATTTTGGACGACATCATTGAAAACTGGGCTATTTGTATCATCCGGCAAACGAATTCTATCAGTTCATGGAATCTGGACGCAAATAAATCGAATTCGTTGCATTCATGTTTTTTGTTTTGTTTTTGTGCAGTTTGCTATTGCTGAATTCTGCGATTTTGTCTTATTGCGTTTTTGTTGTCGGCTTTTGCATGCCAAAAACACTTTTTGAATCGTCGAAGGTCAATGTGGCCCACTATGCCCATCACTGATTGGTTTTCCGCCATACAAATGCTTGACCTTGCATTCCCTATAAATTTACGCAATGTACATATGTACGCGCTACATACAACGTGTATAAGGATTATGACTGTTCTGGCCTTTTTTGTTAAAACCTGTGGTGCCATGTGATGATTTGAGTGTCCTTGACATGTTTACAGCTTCGGGAAAACACCCAAATTTTATGGAGACTTAAAGGTTGGTTGTTCGATTATTTGCTTTTTTCGAAAGCCGGTTCTACAGTTATTTGAAAAAAGACAATCTGCCTTTTCCTGAGTTTCGCCCGAAAAAAACTTCACCCGAAAATTTGTACTCCGCCCATAGTAAATACTCCATGTAGTGTGAAAAGTGAACCGGTGCAGGGAAAATGAAACTCATGATAAGGCTGAATTTGAAAAAAAACCGGTCCCTCATTTTTAACTTAAGAAAAAATCGGGAAAATCGGTTTGCACTATGTCTAGTTAACGCCTAGTGGAGGTACACCGTTCAGTTAAGCACATCGGCTGCTTTATCGATCACATGCTATATGCTAGGTGTCGAAACCGATATTTAACTGGGAGTTAGAATTAACCAGACATTGCGCAAACGGCCCTAAAGGCAACACTGAGAAAAAACGGGTTGTCGCGCACTGTGATGTTGATTCAAACACAACATTTGAAAACACATTTACATACATGTAAACCAGATAGAGAGAAACTGGCCCTTACTGTAGTAATTAAACTACATAATTTACAAATTTATGAAAATTTGGCGATCCGTTATTTTAATACGGATTTCCTTACAACAGGTTTGTTCAAAAATGTATAAATGTTTTTTGAATCCCGAAATCCCGGGAAGAAGCCCTCGGGATCCCGAGACCCCGGGATATAATTTAATTTACAGCCAAATTAAAATAAAACGAGATTTAGACACTGTAAAGGCATAAAAGAATTATAAAATGCAAGACTACAAATAATCAAATAATATAATAATAATAACACTACTATTATTTTATGTTATAATAGCCGTCATCGATTCGCCATCAGTTAGCGAGTGGCGAA